CGTTTTACATTTTATTCAGCTGGTGAACATCCAAAAATAAAGATAGACTCTGATGCTGGCTGTACGGCTTTTGGAAACAGGACATTACACAAAAAGTCAGGGTGTAACAGTCTGCAAGAGTCATTGAACGTTAGAGAAGGGATTTTGAACAGCATGATGATCCTATTACCAATGCAAATTTTATCATATTATCAATGCAATTATAGCTTTAATGACAGAGATTATTATCCATTTAATTTGCAAAGGTATTTAATATGCCTAATATCATTTACATGTAGCTATATGTGAAATAAGTTTTGTGTTCCCATGGAAATACCACTGCTTAAGGATGTGAAAACTCAAAGTAATAGATAGAAAGCCAAGTTAGTCAGAATCTGGCACCAGTTATTGCTAAGATTGAACTCCACATGCATAACTTTTCTTTTTGAAAAAGAAGTGACTTAATTTGGAAATCACCAAATCATTTAAAACCAGATATTAAGAAGATCTTACTAAGCATTCTATTTGATAAGGCTTTCTATATTCATACATAAAACTATTTTGCTTGGATTTTGCTTAAAAATGTAAATAGTGCAAGTAATGTTCTTGTATCATTTTGAGTTGCTGTAGATCTCTTCTTAGTTTAAGTATTGTCAGTCACAATTAAATAGTCTGAGCATCTTAATTTTTTGAGTGTTGATTTTCACAGCCCTGCGTCTGCTTATAGGAAACGACATTAAAATAATACCCCCTTCTAGTTTAGAACAGCTGCTCATATATTTTATGTATGTATTTCTTTAATATTTCTGAAGTCAGACTAAGAAAATAAGAGGTTTGTTACGAATTGATAGTACGCTTTATTTCCCATTGCTGGACATAAGAAATGACAATGAATATGTTTGTTTTCATCAATACAACTTCTTTTTACATAATAACATGAAAATAGTGATTATGCTAAACTCACTCATTTCAGCAAAACATTCTTTGGCACAGCAACAATATGACTCATCTTATGAGACATAAGACTGATGCTTTACTGAACAACATGCCATCTAAAAGTTATTTTCCCCTCCTCCACTGAGAAAGTAGATAGCACCAATTCTTGATATGAAAATCATGGCAGTTACCTAGTGATAGCAGAGTGAGCGGAAAGCTCAGAATGCAGAAAGGGATAGTAGTTTGAGTGGTCGTGGTGGATGGACATGATGTGTACAATGCTAAGAGTTGTAGTCAATGAGCTTGGTGAGATGACTGTGCACTGACAGAGTTAGAGTGAGTGTTTTTTTTAATCATGAGATATGGGCCATCCAGCTGGGTTGACTTTTGCTGCCTATCTCTAATTTCCTTGAGAAGGGGAGGTGAGCTGTTTTCTTGAACTGCTGCAGCCCATGTGCTGTAGGTAGACCCACGATGCCATAAGGAAGGGAATTCTAGGATTTTGACCCATCAACAATGAAGGAACACAGATATATTTCCAGCTCAGGATCGTCACTGGCTTGGAGGGGAATTCTCAGGCAATTGGGTTCCCATGTATCATTGCCCTTGTCCTTCTAGGTGGGAACGGTCATGGGTTTGGAAAGTATTGTCTAAGGAGCTTTGGTGAATTTCTTTAGTGCATCTTGTAGATGGGACACATTACTGCTAGTGAGCATTGGTGGTGGAGGGAATGCAGGCTTGTGGATGTGGTGCCAATCAAATGGGCTAATTAGTCATGGATAGTGTCAAGCTTCCTGAGTGTTATTGGAGCTGCATCCATTCAGGCAAGTGGAGAGTATTCAATCACCCTCATAACTTGGGTTGTGTAGATTGTGGACAGGCTTTGGAGAGTCAGAATATGAGTTAGTCTTTGAAGGATTCCTACCTTCCAACCAGTTTTTGTAGCCAGTCTATTTGTATGACTGGTCCAGTTTATTTTCTGGTCAATAATAATCCCCAGGATGTTGATAGTAGGAAATTCAGTGATGGTAATGCCATTGAATGACCCAAGGGATGATGGTTAGATTGCTTTTTAATTGGAGATGGTCATTGCTAGACATTTGTGTGGTGCAAATGGTACTTGCCACTTTTCAGTCCAACCCTGGTTATTGCCCAAGTCTTGCTGCATTTGGACATGGATTGCGATTGAGAAGTCTTGGATGATGCTGAACATTGTGTGATCATCATCCTCACTTCTCACCTTATGATGAATGGGAAGTCATTGATGGAGGAGCTGAAGGATGTTGGGCTTTGGATGCCAGTCTAAGGAAGTCTTGCAGAGATGTTCTGGAGCTTAGATAACTGGCCTCCAACAACCAGAACCATCTTCCTATATGCTAGGTATAAGTCATAGAGAGAAACAGCATGAAAACAGACCCTCCGGTCCAACTTGTCCATGCTGACCAGATATCCTATATAAATCTGCCAGCATTTGGCCCATATACCTCTAAACCCTTTCTATTCTTATACCCATCCAGATGCCTTTAAAATATTGTAATTGTACCAGCCTCCATGACTTCCTCTGGCAGCTCATTCCATATACACACCACCCTCTGTGTGAAAAAATTGCCCCTCACGTCCCTTTTATATCTTGCTCCTTTCACCTTAAATGTATGCTGTCTAGTTTTGGGGAAAAGGCCTTGCCTATTCACCATATCCATGCCCTTAAGATATTGTAAACCTCTATAAAGTCACCCCATAGCCTCCGACACTCCAGGGAAAATAGCCCCAGCCGATTCAGTCTTTCCCTATAGCTCAAACTCTCCAACCCTGGCAACATTCTTGTAAATCTTTTCTGAACCCTTTTTAGTTAATTTTCTTCCCGATTCCCATTAACTTCCATTTTGATAGGCTGCTTGATGCCACGCTCGGTCAGTTGCTGCTTTGATGTCAAGGGCAGTCATTCTTATCTCTGTAGTCCTGCAAGTATGAGGTAGCAGAAAGAAGATGATGGCACTCGCCCTTTCTGAGCACAGAGGACAAGTAATCTTCTGTCCGCGTTCGGTCTGTTGCACTTTACCTGGAACATTTCACTGAACTTGGCTACTAACTCAGTCCAGGTTCATTTATGTGGCCTTGTTTGCTAAATAGAAGGAAAAAGCACCATTCTCCTTTTACACCACCACTCCACCAGCATCTCCAAGTCCCTATCTGCAAAATGGTGTGATAGCTTGCTTATCTGGAGTATAACTATTGAGTTTACAATGTGAGGGGCAGATCCTCATTTGCAGCATCTGAAGTATGCAACTATATTTTAAATAAGATGCCAGCAGCATGAAAACCACAGAATTCTGGGAGAGGTGAGCATTTCCATCTCTTCTGTCTCATGGGTAGGTGCCAAAGAGGCCAATTACGTATTTAATCAGATGAAGGGCAGAAGATTGCATGAAAAAAGTTGATGTGGACAGGCTGCGATGAATCTGACTCAAGAACACTTTGCCAATAAAATGAGAAAATTTATTGCACAGCAACTGATAGGGGTCCTTTGTAAATGTAAGTGTGTTCAGCAGACTGCAACTGAATGTTCAACATCCATTTATCGTGCAATCCTGGTATGTGCCTAAGAACAGATGAAACCAATACTTGTTCTATTCCAGAAAGCCCAGGGTGACTGGCCCTCTCGTGGCACAGTGATAGTATCCCTGTCCCTGAGCCAAGAGGCCTGGGTTCAAGTCCCACCTTCTCTAGAGGTATGTCATAACATCTCTGAACAGGTTGATTAGGAAAAATAGGGTAAATGAAAAGAAGAGCCAGTTGATGGAGGATAGTACAGGAGTCAATATAGCTTCAGTCTTAAGCTTATTTACAGATTGATAGTTTCCCTACCTTTGAGCCAGAGGCTCTTGTTCAAGTCTCACCTGCTCTGTCGCTGTAGCATACATGTCAGAACAGGCAGATTCAAAATATCTACAACTCCAAAGTCAATTCATGCCACAGTTCATTAAATGTTGTTTATACATGCTCAAGTGAAACCCCAATTCATGCTCTCTACCTGCATATAATTAAACACAGTTGATATACAATCATCAATATGCATTGTCTAAAGTTAATCACATGAGCTTTGTGGAATAAGCTTTTTTAAAAGTTCCATTACACTCTACACCCAGCCAAAACAAGCTCTGCTGATGCAGTCGTAGTGTCCCTTCCTCTGGGCCAAGAGACCCGGGTTCAAGTCCCTCCAGGAATTTGTCATAACATCTCTGGACAGATGGATTAGAAAGCATGTCCACAGCCAGCTGCTTGCAGTTGGTTGACCTGAGATAGTCAACATGCTCTTATTTCTGATAACTGTAATCATTTTGAATAATTATAAACCTTTTTCTCCTGAACTGCAGATCCTAGCATTACTGCTGCACAACTGAAATATTGCACATATTGGAAATCTTAACCAAAAGCAGAAAATTCTGAAAATACTCAGTCTGATAGCAACTATGAGAAGAGAAACAAAGTTAATAGTTGAGGTTGATAGCCTTTCACAAAATTTTGATGGAACATTAACTTTGTTTTTTTTCTCTATTGATGTTGCTAGATCTACTGAATATTTCCTGTTTTACTGTTTTTAATTTCAGATTTCTAGCATGCGCTCTATTTTACTCTTATAAAAGGTTAATCAGAGATTTGTTAGAGGTGTAGAAAATGATGAAGAGTTCTGATAAAGTTGTTAAGGAGAAATTGCTTCTGGTGGCAGAAGGATCAATAAGTCAGTGGGAACAGATTTAGGATGTTGGCAAAACAATTTGGCATCATGAAGAAAAACAGATTAAGCAATGGGTTGTGGTGATACGGCACATACTAACTAAAAGGATGATGGAAGCAGATGCCCTTCTGAAGAGAAAATAAATTTGTTTTATAACTGAGGAATTCTCAGCTTTATAGACAGCATGAGAGTTAGCTAATGCAGAATGTAAACAATGACTGTAGTGAGGGAAGTAATACAGGATTTTTTTTTTGAAGTATGTACCTGTGAATTGAAGTGTTGCCACTTATTAAATGTTTTAATTTGTATCCAGGAGTATTAAACTTCACTTTTCTTTCTCTGTTGAAAGGAAACCTTCTCACCGCCTGCTGGAAACCTTCATCAAGAACAGGAATATCGTCACTGCATGTAAACTGGATGGCCCCTTGAACAATATTGCTCTCCTTCCCAGTCACACAGTGTGTGAAATGGGGGAACTGACCCAAATAGGTGAAGTACCATGCAACTTAGGTTTTCGCTTTTTTTTTGATGATGCAAGCTGTAAATCTTGTGTGGAGTGTACATGTGCTTCTCCAATGGTGTGAACGGCAGAAGTATAATTACACTATAAAGACTGTGTTTGTAGAGAGCGTGTGATGCTACACTGATGCAGAAATTTGAGTGTGGGATTTTCTTTATTCATGCGACGTTGGCATTGCTAGATAGGACAGCATTTCTGCTGGACATTTATGGGCAAGGGACATTTATGAACTAAATAGGTTTTATGACCATTTGCAATGGTTATGTGATCACCATTAGACTAGCTTTTTATTCCAGACTTTTTATTGGATTCAAATTTCACCATCTGCCAGAACATTATATTCCCAGAACATTAGATTGTGGTTCTGGATTGCTGGTCCAATAGCATTATGATAAGTACCACCACCTTCCTCATCTGCTATCAGTGGTATAGTAAACTTACGTTATCAATGCCACTTTTTAAATACCAATAATTTGTATCTGGTCTGATATGACAAAACTTTCTAGCATGATATACATACTGCTGCAGTATATGTATATCGTCGAATTGACCTCGAAGGAAAGAAGGCTTTGAGTAAATAATATGTAATGAGAACATCCATGTATAATTGTTTACTTCTAACTTATTTTAGTTCTAATTTCAACCTATTTTTGTTATACAGAATAATTGTGTATATTTATTAACTTCAACAAATGTTATATATTTCAGTTCTTTGATTTATGAAAAATGATACAATATTTGAATTCATAAAGACAATCGAGTTTAAAGTGGGCATCTCTTAAGTGAAACAAGCAATTGCTAAAATCAGAGGTCAGAGAAAAAAGCCATTCAAACTATGTTCTGAGATCATTTAAATTAATTTATGGTTTGACTTAGTTTGAAATCAAAGTACATGGGTGTTTTTACCCACTCACTTAACTTGACAATGTCCTTGTGCAACCTCTTCATATCCTCCTCACAATATACTTTTCGACTTAACTTTGTCATCAGCAATCATGAATACATTATACTTCGTTCACTTATATAGTCATTTTTAAAGAGCGCAAAAGCTGTAGTCCTAGCTAAATTTCTTGTGGTGCCACAATAGTCACAAATTGATAACCCAAACTGACCTATTTGTTCTTATGCCTTGTTTTCTGTCCTATACATAATCCAGTGTCATTGGAGCAAAAGTCTGCAACTCACTCCCTAATGTCATTGTGGATGTATCTGTATCAATGGACTTCACTAGTTCACGAAGATAGCTCAACGCCATCATCTCAAGATTAACTAGTGACAGGCAATAATGAATGAGTAAAAAATATCCTGCAAATCTTCAGTGCAATCAACCGTTGCGCATGCTTTTTGAGAATCCAAATACATTTTGTGCACTGAATTCCCCTTATCCACTCTTCTAGTTATATCCTTTAAAATACATATCAGATTTGTCAAACATAATTTCCGTTTTATTAAACTGTGATTCTGTGCAATTGATTTTCTAAGGGCCCTGCTATCATGTTCCTAACAATAGATTCTAGCATCTTCCTACTACGGATATTAGGCTCATTGGCCTATAGTTTGCTTTTTTTCTCTCTCTCCTTCCCTTCTTAAATAGCAGGAGAACAATTTCTATCTTCTAAATCCATGGAGTATGCATACAAACAACCTTTGTGCATTGATGGGCGAGTGTTTGACCATTGCCTTAATGGGGAAATGCTGATTGCAGGAGCACTCAGCAGAAATTTATCTACTGCGCAAAGAAATACACACTTGGCACTCTATTGCATTCTTAACTGAGAAACATTCAACCCATAAAATTTCAAAACAATAAACATTGACTCTGTGGATTGACTGAGAGGTTTCTAACATTGCTTTTACTGTTAATCGAGAAGTTGTGTGATATTCCCTTTGTTATTCATACTTCGTGTGATGATGTGCAAACTCCAGAGGTTGATTTGACAATGTATTCTGGATCTTAATGCTTTTAAAGGTCTGTTTGTGGCAGTGACCAGTTCAGTTGCCAACACATTATTTGAATATGCAAGAAAAGTTTAAACTTGAGTCTTGTGAATTGAGTTTATTTGCTGATGTGCAGTTATTGCATGGCAAAAGACAAAAAAAAAGTGCATGAGGCAACAAATGATTTTTTGATGCAAAACACAATGTACTGCCTTCAGACACATAACTTGTTTGAGAGTAGAGAAAAATGCAGGATGGGAACAGTTACTGTATATGCAATGAAAGCTCTGCATTGCTAGAATATCTTATTGTGCTCAAAAACTGGATTAGCGTGATTATTAAATAAAATCATGAATTTTCACCTTGATGACCTTGCAGAAAGCTGGCTTAATGAATTGGTCCTGTGGGAAATTCAAGTTGATCAATTTCTATAATGGGCTTCTGATTTGCCAAACCAGGTTTCAAGTTGAAAATCCACCCCATATGTTGTGGCTGTGTGCATACATTTATGTGCATGAACCTAGGGAATTTTTGACATAGGGTCTTATTTACATAGTCAGAAGTTGTGCCTTACTTGATCCCTGTGGAGGATGGGCTCTGTGGCTACTTGGGAAGGGGTGAAACTTTAGATGAAAGGAGGCCACAATCACACACTCCAAAGCACTAACTTAAATATCAGGGATGGGATTCAGCCATCTCTGCAGGCTCACAAGGAAACTCTCACTTTTCTTTTTCGATAAACAAGTGGTTTTGATAGCATCATGATACAGGATCCTCTTAGAGAAATGTATAAATCTTGCATTGAGATAGCAGTCAAGCTTTGCTGATATCATTGAAAAGTAAAAAGGCCTTGGAGAGTAAAGTTAAGGGATTTAGAGTGGCACCAACAATGAGGGGCTTCACGTATGTAGAGAGACTGGAAAAAGTTCTTAGGGGATTTGATAGAGGTCTTCAAAATTATGAAGAGTCTGATTCAGTAAACACAAGGAAATTGTTCCCCGTGGTAGGAGTTGCTAATAGAACCAGGGACAACAAGAGAAAACATTTTTCCACAGCAAGATGCTTTGAAAGGGTCGTGACAGAAGATTGAACTGTAATACTGGTTTGATAAGTATTTTAAAGGGGATAAAAAAACATAAAAATGGGGAAAGAAGAGGGGAAGGAACTAACTGGCTATCCACTTCGAAGAATGGCATACACACAATAGTTTAATTAGTGCTGTATCATTCTATTGCTGCAATATCTACAATATTGATAGTTTTGAGAACATTGAGAGTGTATTTTTGTTACTCTGATGTATGATGGTGTGGCCCACCATTTATCATTGCTTATGTGTGATTGCCATGCAGAGTATGCAAAGTAGGCTCAAGTAGACTCCTCCATTCAGTTGTCATATCTCACTTTGTATTACCACTGACTGCCAACAAAATGGGGTGAAGTGCAAAATAAAACAATTCAATTCTCAGATAGTTTGGCTCTTCTCAATCCCTATTTTTTGCTTCCAGGTGTTGTCCAGCATCTGCTGAATGGAGAACATTTGCATGACACGTACATTAAGAAACATAAACTGCTGCCTGATAACTGGTCTACAAAGCATCTGTACGTGGAATCAACAGGAAAAAGTCGGACACTGCAGAGTGGACTAGCTCTGCTGTACAGTCTCCTGCCAAAATTGGATTGGGGCAAAGTACACATCCGGTACCAGTGGAGCACCATTTTCTGCTCTAACAGCTGTGACTGTCCAATGCGTAATCACTATCTCGAGGAGGAACAACGACGCCAGTACAATCTGCGGGTTAAAAACAGCCTGTTGGAACAGACATACATAGACATGGCAAAAATTGTGGGGATTCCCACACGGCGGTTAAGAGCAGCTAATCCCATTGACTCCCTGCTATGCCATTTCTGTCACAATGTCTCATTTCCATGTACAGAATATGGTTGCATTAATTTGAACCACTTTAAAGTCATCAAGGCACATCAGCTGGAAGATGAGCAAGACAGGCAGAGGAAGAAATTGTACTACAAATATGCACTACTTGCAACTCACCCACTTTTAAACCAGACTGTCACTCGCATGCAACAGATTGCTCAAGGGAAGAAAGATGAAATATTTGCCCTCTACTCTGCTCATGATGTCACAGTGGCACCCCTGCTCAGCGCTTTGGGCATTCCTGATGCCAGTTTTCCTCGATTTGGTGCTCGAATAATCTTTGAAATATGGCGAAATGGACAGGTCAAAAGACAACATTTTATTCGTATTCTTTATAATGGCGATGATATCACATTCCAAACTTCGTTCTGCTCTGGGCACAATGCACATTCCAAACAACTCCTCTGTCCTTTTGAGAATTTCCTGAATTTTGTAAGGAAGGACATGTTTGCAGTTTTTAACAGCACAAATTATTATGATGCATGCCACAGGAGGGTATTTTGAATATCTCAGTTGCTGGAGTTTGTGTAATGCTACATGTTGTGTGTTTTAAATATAATTGATTTGAATCATTGGTGTTTTATTTTGATGAGATTGTACCCCACCCCCCACCCATGGCAGAGTTGTTTTATTTCCAATGATAATAAATTATAATGTGGATTGTACAAATGTCATGCTCCAGCTATGTATTGTGACACTGTGTTCCAGGGATTTGTTATGTCATGTCTTTGTATTGAAAAATCCCATTGTAGCTAGACATGGTAACTAAAGCTTTCTAAAATAAACCAGGGACAGATAGCAAAGGCATGATTACACGTGTTTAATAATTCTTTAAGAAAAGGTGTGGTGTCAGAGAACTTTCAGCAAACTATCTATATTTAAGAAGGGAGATAAGAATATGCCCAGGGAACTATAAACTAGTCAGTTACAGTGACTGATTAACAAAAAAAAATTGAAAAAGAAGAACAATATCTAGAAACTAAAAATATAGTACTGAATAATCAATATGTACTGTAAAAGGCAAAATCTTGCTTGCCTCTTGTCATTGAGTTCTTTGAAGAGGTAAATGAGAAATTATTAAAAATTGTACACTCTTAAATTTGATGGTGGCCTCAGTTAAGAAAGTTAGAAATTAGGATACTCCAGTGATCATGTTGTTCAGTTTTGTATTTTGATATAGCTTTCATTTTGGCCAACTTAAGGCTTCATTTCACTTTGGTTCAAAGTAAACCAAGTACCTAATTTCAAAGGATTTAGGTATCTGCTGAAACTTTCATGATTTAAACCAATTGGGACAGAATTAGACTTCATGCTAGTTGAATTTCAAGTGAAGTCAAGTTTAAAATGTTCTTTCGTACCACAGTAGATTGAGCTGTTATGCATATAATGAAAGGTTATATAGAATAAATTTCAAGACTTCCTAACTGACTTGCTCATAACAGTAAGAACTAGTTCATGCTACAATGTTGCACACCAATCAGTTGTACATGTGGAAATGCTTTCCTCTGAAATACAAGGGAAAGATGGAGTTGCAAGCTTCAAGTGACCTAGTAAAGCAAATTTCTTCAACCCACAGCTAAATCAGAATCTAAGGGGACATTTTCAAATAGGTAATCTGTAGCAAATGGAGTGCCAGAAGGATCAGTATAAGAGTCTATGCTGTTTAAAATTCACTGCCCTGCCCTGAATGACAAATGCATAACCCCAAGGAAATATGTTGGGACTCCTTGAAGTTGCAACACACCGACTCCATGGAGATTGTCTGGAAAGTTTGAATTCCCAATGGGAATTCCCCAGTTCCCTAGGACAGTGATTGCATATCATTCACTCTAAGTTAGGTTTGGAGTGTTGGCAGAGATGAGACTTATTTACTGGATATTAAGCAGGAAATGTTAGATAGATTAAAACCATGCCTAATTCCTGGGAAGTCATTGAACTAATCCTACTGACCCCCATGATTCCCCTCAGCCATTAAACCTCATCCTAGTGCCTCAGCTCCTGCCCTGTCAAATCTTCCCAAGCCTCTATTATTCCTGAACTCTGTAACATGCCCTGATTCTCAAATTTGCCTCCTTGACCCTCTTGACACTACCCAGAGTCCATAACATATTTGTCTGGACCTCACCACCCTGGCACTGTATCCACCTACCTCCCACTGACTACCCTACCTAATGACACATCTACCCTATCACCTTTTCGCTCATGCACTTGTACTAAAGAACTGAAATTTTCTGAGATGTATACAGCAATTTGTGCTCTATAAAGGGGGCATGACTTCTGCATGCATTCTGTTTGCTGCTTCCTCTGACAAATCCCGTGCTCACTGGGTTTTGGATAGATACTGCAATGGAAGGCTGATCAAACAAATCAGAGAAAGGTAAGTAGGGAATATTTTTCTGCAGTCTGACTTGGAACAAATATTCTGCTGACTGGAAGATTTTGATCAACATTAATGACTAAGATGAAGAGATAAACTAATATATCTAAATTTCCAATGATACAAAACTAGCAGTGAGGAGAATGCAAGGAGTCTCAATGAGATCAAAGCACATAAGATGAGTCAGTAACAAGTTGGCAAATGAACTATAGTGTGGGGAAGTGTGAGAATATTCACTTAGGTACCAAGAATAGAAAAATTAAATATTTTATGAAAATTCTAGATGATGTTCAGAGAGACTTTGATTTACAGGGAGCACAAAGCTAGCATATAGGTACAGCAAGCAATTACAAAGACGAATGGTTTCCGAGAATAAACAAAACTTTGCCACAATTGCACAGGCCTTCGGTGAATTTATACTTGGCGTACTGTGTGCAGTTTTGATCTCCATATTTAAGGAAGGATATCCTTGCATTAGAAGTGGTATAGCAGATATTAACTAGATTGGCCCTTGAGATGGGAGAGTTCTCTCATGGTGAGAGATCATTGCTCTTAAAAATTCATTTTCATTTCCTTTCTGTGCCTGCTATTCTCTGAGCTATAAGCTTTCTTTTCAATAGCATCCAGCTAAACAGCATTCCACTGTTTCTTAAGGATCCCACAATTGTGGATATATTAGCTTATGTGTGAACTTTGCTGTAATGTTACCTAGTGCCTCTATCTCTAAAAATACCCTGATTTCTGATAGCCAGTTTGCTTCTAGTCTATATCTACTCTCACCGCTCTTAGCAGACACTTGCTTTCTCTGCATTTTCTCAGCTGAACTGCAGCAGAACTCACAGATAATTTCCCCATTAAAAAACAGTTCTCTCCACCCTGTTTCCATGGCAACCTGTTATACCTGTCATGTTCTAAATAGAAATCAACATTCGTTAACTATTAGCTTCAAAACCAAACCTTTGAATGGAAGACCCAGATGAATAATTAATATCTCTGATTAACATAGTTCCATCTCTCCAGGATCCCTGATTCCACCAATGAAATCCTTTATTTATAAACTGTTTGCTTCTTTTCACTGGGAATTACATACATAATTTATATATGTTATTGAAACAATTGTAGACCACCTAGCTCTACACAGACTCCAATGGATTATTATTGTTTGGTTTCTCCTTTCTAATTTTGATCTCATAAACTAAACTGAACTACCACTATTTGAGGTGTAATGGAAATTTCCAAAGTCCAACATTTTAATTTTCCAATCCTTGTACATTTTATCTTCTCAAAAATAAAAATTGCATCTCTAACACGATCATACAGTTCATGGTTCATATTAATGGCACTTTATATTTTTGCACATTCACTTCATTTATTAATTGCTGATAAAAGACACACTTTGTTGAAGTTTTTCATTTTGCATTCATCAAGGTAATTTGCAAGAAATACCAAAGAGGAGAGTGCTAATTGGTTGGTAAGTGAACTTTCATGAGTTGAGGCATTGTCCTGGTGAATAAACCAGACAATTACATCTGACTGGTAACTCTCATTCACTAAGGCATTGCACTGAGCAACAAACTGGAGAATGGCTGTCACCTATTTTTGCTGCATTGAAACAGGCACAATGTATGTACATGTTCTTTCTGTGTGCAAAGAAGAGGGCCCTATGTATTAGCAAATGTAAACTCCGGTACATATAAATGCGCCATACTGTGAGCCTGAATGACAAGTGTAAATCAGTTGCCAGAAATTGCATGCTCAGGATTATATGGCCAATGTTGTCCATTTGTGGAATCACATTTAATATTAGATGCTGAGATAACAAGGTGTAGAGCTGGATGAACACAGCAGGCCAAGCAGCATCAGAGGAGCAGGAAAGCTGATGTTTCGGGTCTGGACCCTTTTTCAGAAAAAAAAATTACTTTTTTGTTTCTTTTTTTTTTCTGTAGAAGGGGCCAGACCCGAAATGTCAGCTTTCCTGCTCTTCTGATGCTGCTTGGCCTGCTGTGGGATTCCAGCTCTAAACCTTGTTATCTCAGATTCTCCAGCATCGGCAGTTCCCACTATCTCTAATATTAGATGCTGTTGTGGGTCTTACAAGGACAAGCTGGTTGTGCATGGTCAGTACCTTGTTTGTTATGAACAACCAAAGGGATATGCAGCTGAGGTTGAGATTCATTACCTGCCCAGGCTTGGGATAGCTCCTTGGGACTGGAAAGGAGTTTGTTGTAGGAGGGGAAAGATCCAGTTGTCATGGTCTACATAGGTACCAAAGACATTTGACAAACTAAGACAAATACTCTGCTGAGAGACTTTGAGCAGTTAAGGGCTAAATTAGAAAGTAAAGCCACAAAGGTAATAATCTCCGGTTTACTACCTAACCCATGAACAAATTGGCATCAGATCAAATTAAATCAGAGAATACATCAAAGTGTTGTATGGGAAAAATAGGTTTCAATTGATGGAGCACTCTCTCCTATACTCTGGAAAGGGGGGAATGTGCTGTTTAGACAGTTAGTAATAAGCTGTCTTGCGGCCAGAGTTCTTATGAACTGTATAGTCAGTACTGTAGAGGATCTTAAACTTAATAGGTCTGGGAGGAGTGGAGTGTTCATGTGAGAGGAGATTTGGAAAGTTAAAGAGAAAGGACAAAACAAGGCCAAAAGGGACAGAACATACAAACATAGGAAATGACTTAAGAATAGAAAAACATACCCACTATCGTGACAAGATGGATGAATTGATAGAACAAATAGAAATAAAAGAGGATGACGCAGTAGATTTCAACAGAAACGTGGCTGTGAGATGGCCAAGATGAGAACTGGATATTCAAGGGTACTTGACATTTTGGTAGATAGGAAAAATGGAAAGGAAGTGGGATAGCCCTGTCAATGATAGAGTTATCAGAAATATAGTTGTTAAAAATGATCTTCATTCCACAGATCAAGAGTTGGACTATATTCCTGTAGAGCCAGAGAAATGACAGACCTAGTTAACAATTGTGGATGGGACCCAATTCTGGAATGTCTGACCCCATTCCCAGCAGCAACAATTACTGCCAACATGAGATAAATGTGCAGGTAACTGTGTGTGTACCATTTAAATAACCAATAAAGATAATATTAACAACAGCAAATGTGAATATGCTGAAAAAATCCATTTAGAAATACTTTTTGGTAAAAGTAGTCAATTTAATAGAAGTGTCAATTAGACAAATAATTAAATAAAATAAGAAGTTTCAAAGGGTTCTGAGGAAGGGTCACTGGACCCAAAATGTAAACTCTGTTTTCTCCTCCACAGATGCTGCCAGACCTGCTGAGCTTTTCCAGCAACTTTGTTTTTGTTCCTGATTTACAGCATCCGCAGTTCTTTTGGTTTTTAAGAAGTTTCAAGTACAGCATACCTCTTAATCTAGTCTAAATAATCACAAGACATTGACAAAAAATTACAGAGAAAACTGCTTATTATATACACTTTACTATGTCAA